TCCTTAAATGTAACCAAAGCTGTCTCGTTTTCATTCACCTTCTAATCTTTCTACTTTCTAACAGCTGTCAACATCTCTGTCGAGTAGACAGAGACATCAAGCTAATGGGCTAGTCATTTCTTTATTTTTTATTCAGAGAGAATGGGGCTCAGAAAATAGGACACTTGTGGATGATTAGACAGTAAAGTAGTGCAGGCAAAGACTTCGGAACTATATCTCTGTTAGCCCCAAAAGATAGATGCTTGCCTCCAATTCAACAGGAAAGAATAAAGTTGTTTTAGTAGTAAGTTAAAACAGAAATTTTATACAAAATTTATATGTAATGTATAAAGTATATCTATAAATATTGATCAGTAATTTAAATTACATGTTAAATTACATTTAAGAAAAATTCGGAAGCTTAGTGATACAATTATCTACTTTTCTTTTTATGACATGTGTAAAAGTCGGTAGAGTACTGAGTTCATTAGTCTCATTAAAAGAACAACGTAAGAGTTACTGTTGAAGGGGATTGATCATACTTTTCCATTTAAAATGTCCCCAAATTTGAGAAAGCACTTAGTGTAGTGTGTTTGTATGTTGCAGTCTGCTTCACAGCAGAGTTGAAACCAGAAGCTGAAGGGAGGATTCTAGTCACCCAATGGTTCCTTGGGGGCCCACTTCCTCTGTCTCCTTCATGAACTTTGCTTCTATTCTTTCTGACTCTGACTGTCCTGAAAAACAGGCAGAACATACGGAAAGCCTTTTGCCCACAGATCATATGTGAAATGCTGTTTCAGGAACTTTATCTCCTCAAGCTTCTTCAAGCTCCTCCAGGGTTGAAAATCAGAGAGAAACCATTCAGAAATGAGTGATGATATGAAAATCCAAGAGCAAGGACATTCAGGGTATCTGCTGTGTGGTCTGCTGTTCAAACTCTGAACCCTGATACAAGATGTAAACTGGAGCTGACTGTTTTGTTGAGGAAGACCTTGTTTTGTTCAGATTGATAAGCAGAGCTGAATCAATTATCCTAGACAACTCATTGTTTTCCTTTGAAAATTTTTATGGGCTGCATGCTGCTTTTACTTAAGAACCTTTGGAGTATCAGATTTTGCATTTGTTTGGAAAACTCTGGGGTTCTCTGTGGGAAACAAGTCAAGAATTACTGGGTACTGGTAGACACTGGGGAGGGGAGAATAGTTTGCCTCACTGAAGGCTTCTTTGGTAATTAAGAATGTGTCCTTCAAAGTCCTTTGGCCTGGTCTCTTGGAATTTAGGCCAAGATCTGGAATGTCAAAGATAAGATCAAGGCCACAATTTGAGAAATGATAGGGCCCAAGGGTGACTAAAACTCTGTTCCAACCTCAAGGATAGAAGTTGCAAAAGGCAGGATTGTCTTCAAAGCCTTATCTGCAGCAATTACCTTAAAAAAAAAAAAAGCAGCAGTAAATTCATGGCTGAGTTATTTACAGAGAGTGTAGCATTATGGGGCTCTGCATAATTTCAGCACAAGGGGCCTAGGACTGAGGACTTGATCCCTTAGACCAACAGTGCAGATAACAAGATCACAAGGGAAAATAGCCCTGGGACTAAGCAGAGGAGGCCCCAGTACAACCGTAACAGGAGAGGCATCTGACAGGAGAAGAATTGGATAAGTAACAAGTCTGCGCTCAGCTATAACATGGAAGGAGTGGTCAAGCACAGGGGTGCTGTGAGGAACAGAGTGTCACATTTGTTTGAGAGTGGGGAATCAGAGCATCTGTTTGGTCAGAGCATCTATTTAGTCAGAGGCTATAAGAATTGATCAGCCCCTTCAGTCAGCCTGGAAACAATTCTGGTCAAATCTCTGGAACATCATGTTAAAGGCACAGGACCCTTTTGGGCCATGATGATCATTCATTTATTTCATAAGGCAGTGATTTCTCCCCTTCACCCCAGTGACCCTCAACTTCTCATTGTCTTGTACTCCTTCCCTGTAATGTCACTTCCTTTCTTATCCTGTGACCGTGTGCTGCCATGGAGAGTGTGCTCTTTGGGTGCTTCTGAACTCTCTCTGCACCTGTACAAGGCACTGATTCATGCTTCTGTTCTACTCTAGGGGCTTGTGTATCACAGCTCTGGGACACGCTCATCCCAGAGCCCTTGAACGCACTCTCCAAAGCATCTTGGCATTCCTTACCTTTCTACTAAATTCTCCTTCCCTCCATGGTGTCAGCAATTAAAATTGCTGTTCTCCATAAACAACATTAATGATAAATAAAAGAAATTATGTATAAAATAATTTTTTATACTTTGCTGTGTTAAATAATGACCACCAACACAACAACATTGCTTTGTAGTATTTTGTATTGTGACTATGCCAATTTTCAGAAACTTTGTTAGTCAAGGGGGTGTTTTCTGTCACTTAGAATCCAATCACTACTTTAATATCATTTTGTCTATGGGAAAACTACGTTCTGAGTGCCAAAGGAATAACTCTCAAAGAAAGTGTTGCTGCCCAGCTGTATTGGTAATTGCTTGCTTTCTATAGGAGTTAGAGACACTGATAGAGTGTTTTGGAAGATTGAGGGATTTCCTGATGCAGTTAAGCAATGAGATAACTTTATTATGCATGTTTGGAACAATATGATGGTTCCTTTATAGTAACAACAACAACAATAACAATAATAATGATGATGATGATGATGACAACACATTGCAACCATTTGTCTAGTGTTCCACGACACTCAACACATTGTGTGAGTGGCTTAAGTCCACTAATGTTTTAATTCTTTTTGTCATCCCCACAATAAAATATCCACCATTTCACAAGTGAGGGAAAGATTGATAGACTTCATATAGAATCACATCTTGTAGCTTGTTCTGACTTCTATGCCTGGCTGCTAATCACTATGAAAAGAAGAAAATATCTATTGTCAAAAGTGGTTTCTAGAATGAAGGAGTTGGCAAGTACCTTCGATATTTGAAATGTCATGGTCATGTACAGCATTTCACTTCACCTGGCAACATCACAAGTCTACCACAAAGTAGAAGGCTGCCAGATAAGCAAGAAGCAAGCAGCCAAACCACCAACCAAACAAAACATTCATCCAGCTCCATCTCAACATCTTACAAAACATTCTTCCATAAGTTACAGCATTTGATGCTCACAATACAGAGTGCATGTAAGAGTTCAATTGCAGATTTTAAAAACTGGTTTGCTCCTGGTGCCCTTGAAGCCACATTCAATGGTGGGTGGAGGAAACAGCACACCAGCTGTGCAGCACAGGGTGGACTTGGTCAATTCTCACAATTCAATCCATTGGGAAAGGTATCACCATGAGTGACCCCCTGAGATCACTGTCTTGCCTCTATTTACTCAGGGTAGAGTGTGCAAACAGACAGAGGTTACACAAATGGTTCCTTTTCTGTTCATCATAGGCTGAGGAGTTAGAAATCCCAAATGCACCAAAATCTAAACCTGACTGCCAACATGATGCTGTTCCATTCCCAACTTCACACTGTGGCATGTAGTCAAAACACAATGCAGGAAATGACCTTCAGACTATGAGCGAGGTACAAGTGAATTTTGTTTTTACATCTGCATTCATCCCCAGGGTGTCACACGATGCATACAATATTCCACTAGCATATCTGTACCACCTACTGCTCCCTAAACTAGTAACATTTCGTAGTTGTTTAAGGATAGTTGGAATTATAAAACTAGTTCTGCCCAACAGGCTCGGTATGGATATGGCAGGTGCTAGTTCGCTGGTAAGATTTAGGACACTTCTTTTCTGCTGCTACAGCCATGCAGAGGCCCCATCTTCCAAAAGCCAGAGCTGTGAGATAAAGGCAGCTTGGGTTTCCAAATCTCTATTTGGAAAGGGCTAACCTTGTATGTGAGATGATTTTAAATAAACAAATATATATTATTTGCACATACACATTTTATGTTAACTCACTGATGTTTCAGGCAATAGCAACTATCTTTAATTAGATATCTAGGTGCTATCCAAAATACTGGAGATTAATTGAAAAGTTGTAGTTTTTCAGTCTCAGGTCTCAAGACACTTATTGTCAAAGTTGAAGATGGGTCGGTATTCATTCAGTTTACTAGGACGATTTAGAGATTAATGTGAGTGCTTTCCTAGGGAAAGCTACTGGAAATATGGGGGGAAATCTCCATTGCTTCTCAAAGCAGACCTCAGGTGATGCCCACTATCATTTGTACAAGTTCCAGTAGTTACTGAGTTTAAAAAATCATGACATCACTATCTACCCCAGGGTTCTCACAAGAGTGGAAGTACTTAGTGAAATGTAGAATTACAGAGTGGTTCCCAGTAAAGGCTTTGGGAGATTTGCATTCTGGGAGGATATAGAACATGAAAACCCCTTTCCTTTTTATCTGTTTCCTGATTCATCTATTCCATTCAACTATTTGGCTATATATGCCAATTTCATCCTGTCTTGGTTCCTCTTCTTTTCAGTCCTTCCTACATGTATCTGTAGATCAATTGGCAGCTAATCAAGATCATAAGAATCCAGTCTACTGAAGGGAACTCATACCTACATCCAAAGGATCAAGTATCTCCAAATAAATGACATAAGTTCATTTGTTTTTTAAATTATTAACTACATTTCTTCTAAGAAATAGGAGACCTGTCACTGTATTCTTCTTGCTGTGGCCAATGCTCTATGTAATAAGCACATCTATGTGCAAGGACCTCGTGGATTCTCAGAGCTCTTTTATGTGAACATATTTTGATGGATTTTTTTCCCTAGGGATACATACACATTCTACCATTTCCAGGTTTGAATTCACCAGACTGAATCTTTTCTGCCTGCCAACTCTTTCATACTACAGCTTCCTCGGGTAATGTCTCAATGACCCTGCCACCTATCTGCCTGTTATCCTCTTTGCCAAGCTCTCACTATCTCACTACGCCTCCCACAACTGCCTATCCTAGGTAGGACCACACTTGCTACATCACCTTCTCCCCAGGTTCCAAGCATATAGACAATAACCCAAGACAAACCTGACTCAAAGGTCTTCCAATAACCAGGAATAGTGATATGTAGAGGCAACCATGCAAAGCCTGATACAGTGGCTCCCAGCCCAGTACAGGTATATAGGATATTCATGGATAAACATTAACCTCTTGGAGGAATATTAACTTTTTAGTGAAACAGGGAAGTACGAAGCAACTAGTCCAGATCAAAGTTTGCTTTGACATGAACTTGAGTGGTTTTGTAATGTTTGCTCCCAAAACTAGTTGTTTACAAAATGTTACAAGGATCCTGAAATTTGTTGTTAAGATTAAACACTGAAATAAAGTAGTTGCTTATTTGTTTTCAAGCCACCTGTTCATAAAGATGGTTAATGGATGGATAGGAGTGATTTCAGGGAGAGATTTTTTTAAAAGCCTGCACTGGAAAAATGAGACCTTTGCCTCGGAGGTGGTAAGCAGATAGAAGAGCAGATAATCACTTGAAATAATAGACAGAGAGAAGATAATGGCTTCCTACCATCAGGAAGGTAGTGAGGATCCTGGACAGGACAGCATAAGAAGAATGTTGAGCTCTACATACTGAACCAGACAACCAAATTCATGTAGGAGACAGGGAGACTATTAACAGTTTTGAGGACATGATTCAGTAAAGTAGGATGATGGATTGGAAGAGGAAATGAAACTGTAAGCAGGAAAAAAAAAAAAAAGGACTGATTCCCAGGGCAGAACAGTCCTGTGGGGTTCATTCAAGATGACTAATTTATTGATTGCCCAGGTTCTCCCTCTCTTCTTCTACCACAGATGTTATCAGTTGTTTTTGTATTACAGCAGCACTGAACACTTTAAGTAGTTATAATATACCAGACACATTCCATGAAATATTTTATTTGATTACATCACCAGATACATGGTTAGACATTGTGTTCTCCATTGCTCAGAACAATGGATGAGGTTAATTTACTTACTCAAAGCCATCTACCAGTGTGTGGATTAATCTTGACCATCAGCTTGATGGGATTTAGGATATCCTGGGCAATGCCTTTCTGGATGTGTATGTATACGGGTGCTTCCAGAGAAGTTTAAGTGAGATGAGCAGATCTGGCCAGAAAGTTGGAGGGCTGTGACCCCAGACTCAATAAAAAAAAGAGAAGACAAGTTGGATGTAGTGTCTCATGCCTACAATGTAGGTATTCCAATGGCCAAGGCAGGTAGTTTGTCAGATGTTCAAGGCTAGCCTGGGCTACAAAGAGAGTTCAAGGATTGCATGATGACATTGTAAATCCCTATTCCAACCAAAGAAAGCAAAACAGAATAAAACCAAACGAAACAAGCCAAAAACAAAACAAAAGAGAAAGCGAGGGGCATCAGCATTCACTGTTTGGTTTCCTGACTGTGGATCCAGTGTGACCAGTCACCTTCTCTGCCACCATAATGGACTGTGACCCCTGTAAACAATGAGCCAAACACACCCTCCCTTCTTCAAGTCGCTTTTGTCAGCTGTGTTGTCATAGCAATGAAAAACGGGACAAAACAAACACTAATGAGCAGAGTTAGAAGCTAAACCTACCTTGTTCCCACACACAGGCAAGCAAAACGTCAAGATCTCCTGATGGTCATGGCAGTGAGACCTGACCCTCCTCTAGTGTCTACAGTGTGAGTGAAAAGAATAATTTCCTGCTGGCTTTCCCAAACTTTCTCTTCTTTATCTGCTTTCTCCTTTATCTCCTTGGAAGGGGAGATGATAGTTTTCTGACCACTAGATGGCAATACTATCTTTAAAATGTTTACAAAGCAGCCTGCTGTTAATCTGGGAATGTCTTTTCCCCAGTAATTACAGCCCTTTGTAAATAGCTCTGTGGTATGCCAGTGGTCAGCTCTGACATCACCTGGACTACATGCAGCATTTTGATTGACATCTTTCATTACATCTTGGACCACACTTCACTGTTCCAGAAAGCATCTCAGGGAAGATGATCCTTTTTTAAAAAGATGTATTTATTTATTATGCATTGTGTTTTGCTTGCCTGTCTGACTGCACACCAGAAGAGGGCACCAGATCTCATTGTAGATGATTGTGAGCCACCATGTGGTTTCAGGGAATTGAACTTAGGACTTCTGGTAGAGCAGCTGGTGCTCTCATCTTTTGAGCCTTCTCTCCAGCCTGGGAAGATGATTCTTAAGCTTCAATTTATGTCACATATTTATTAACCTCCACACATTACTTGGATTCTTTGTGCCCCATTTCTTCACAACATCTCTTATACTGTAATGAGAAATGTCCTAGTGTGTTTTCTGTTTACTGTAGGGAGGAACGTGTTCATTCCAGCTTACCAAGTTATACTCCATAGCTGATTGGGGGCTAAGGCAGGAACGTGGAGACAGGAACTGAAGCAGAGGCTATGGAGAGTGCTACTTACTGACTTGCTACTCATGGCTTGCTCAGTCTTATTTTTTTATACAGCACAGAACCATCCGTCCTGGGGTGGCACTGTCCTTGGTGGGTCTGGTCCTCCTACCTCAGTCATTAATCAAGAAAAAGCCCAGCCGTGACTAGAGGCCAACCTGATGGAAATGTCTTCTCAATAGTCTCTCTTCTCAGATGACTCTAGCTTATGTCAAATTGAGGAAAATCTAACCAGCATAAGAAGCAAAGGAACTGATGTAGGTAAGTGCTGATAGCAGATAGAGACGAGAAAGTTCTCATAGGAGACTCTCAAAATTGAACTATTTACCATCCTATATCCTTTTTGAATAGAGTCATTGAACTGAGCCAAGGATCATCCTTCTTCCAAGGTAGAACATTTTATATCAGTATACAATGCCCCCACCTAAGGGAATTTGCTGTGGTATATCTTTCTATATGCTGTGAATATATGTTGTTCCCATTAATTAATAAATAAGCTGCTTTGGCCTATGGCAAGGCAGCTTAAAGGCAGGTGGGAAATCCAAGGAGAGAGACTGGAAAAAGAAAGGCAGAGTCTGGAGAGAGATGCCAGCCTGCTACCCAAGGAACAACATGCCGGCAGACTGATAAGCCCCGGAACACATGGCAAAACATAGACTAATAGAAATGGACTAATTTAAGATATAAGAGCTAGCTAGCAAGAGACCTGCCAGAGACCATACAGTTTGTAAATAATAGTAAGCCTCTGAGTGATTATTTTATAAGTAGCTGTGGGTCTGTGGGTTGGGTGGGACCACAGAAACCTTCCAACTACAGGAATTAATCTCAATGGATAGACATAAGGTCACAGATAGTGCCATTTGAGGTGGAGGCTTGACAGCATCTCTTGAGTTCTAGAGAATTGGTTCACGGCAAAACAGGCCAGTCGTGGACCCATCCAGGTTCCATAGACAGAGACAATAGGAATTCGAGTACACTCAGAGGAAACTGAGAAGGGTTGTTTGTCCTTTTCAGGTGGCCATTGCTACCCATAGAGCAACATGCCTGTTCAGTTTGGGTCATGAAAATGAGATGCCATCCCAAGCAGTCTTGATTCAGCCAGGAAGCAGTTGCCATTCCATAAAATGCTGGAGTCCTGTGCAATTCAATGAATATGGATGAGGGGCCTGGTCCTCATGATCCTCCTGCTTCTGCTCTGGGATGTGTCTCACTTGAGATAGTTTTGCAAGTCAAGATGAACCCTGGACTTGGTTATGCATGCCTGAAGATCATAAGGCTTAGCATGACACTTGACCTCTGAAGACAATCAGGCTGATGTCACCCTCCAGTGACTAAAATCAGTCATGGATAGGGCTACATCACTTCAAAAGAAGTTTGCACATTTCTAATCCCATTACGAGCTATGAACCTTCAGCAGTCACTATGCTATGGGTAGGGCCAGAGGCACGGCATGAGTTACAAGGACATATGGGGAGAAGGCCTAAAGGGACTGCTGGAGATCTTGGGACAGAACAATGACTTTTGTTATAGATTTCACTATTTATCCTTATCTTATAGAGTCAAAAGTGTCCTCTAGCTGCTGAATTCACTACATAGGCCAGAACAGACTGGAAAGAAATGAAGCGTCTCAACAAGGTTCTAATTCTTCCTCAAATCACAGAAAAAGCCAGATTCTAGAGACAGAACAGGAGATCAAGATTCCGGTAATGAGTGTGGGCATCCACAACGAGGTATTGTGGACTGCCATGCTCTTGCTATGGCTCTAATAGATCTGACCCCTGGGCAACTTTATTTATTAACATACAATTAAAATCACATTTCAGTACAAATAAAATACCACCATACCAGTCATGAGTGTGGGCATCCATAATGAAGTGCTGTGGATTCACTATCAAAAACCCATTGATATAAAAGTCATGGCATCTTGGAGCTAGTTTGTGTTTATCAAAAAGTTCATGAGGATCCAGGATCAAAGTCAACTAAATGCAAATTAAGTGACAGAAGACAATGTCTGGACCAGGAAAGAAAGTTGTTTTTATTGAGAAGCAGCAAAGTACTTCCTACCTCCACCTTATATTGGGAATCCTGTACAGAGACACTAGACTGCCTCATGGCTCTGCCATGAGAGGGTATGGAGAGGCTGTGCTTGCTAGTAGAAAATGCTCCTTAAATGAGAGCTAGTAACATTGGCAACTAGGCAGATATTCTGAGGTTCAGCCACCTAAGCTGTGGCCTTTGCTGAACTTACTGACTTTGTACTTCCCAAGAGGCAAACCTGTTTCAGCTACAAAATTGGTCACCCAGGTGGAACTTAAACCTTGAGGGCTTGTGGCTGCTTTGCCTGACAACAGTAGAATCAGTGGGCAATGGCATTTTGTCCTGGGTTGACTTTACTTTGTTGACAGAGTCAGGCCATGAACAGATGGAGAAGTTGCTCCTTGGTGCCTAACTGCACTCCTACTAACTTGTGTTGAATTTAGTGGCAGCTCTGAAGCTTTAGTTCAAAAGTTTCTCTGGATTGTGAGTCATGACGAAGCCTTCTATCTGTGGGTAGGGTTTTGGGGTTATAGAGAAGGATCTGTGTTGGAGATGACATGAAGGGGTCAGCATAAGTCACAGAAGTTACAGCAATCAGAGATCTGGAAGATTAAAAGAGCCAGATGCCTTTAGTTAAAGTACTGGAAGACTGAAGAATATCTTTGGGAAGCAGGGCTTGGTTGGGGGCACATGTGTCTATGAATCCTGGGAGATTGAGAAAAATCTGCATCTTGGCTGTTGACAATTAAAGGTTTTGGAACCTGGGTGGTGTCTGTCTCCATACTGAGGACCTGCATCAACATGAAGGTTCCCCAGAGGAAAGTTTTGTTTAATTTTTACAAGACAATGTAAATTTTTATGGATTAAGGAAGATGGGTTTCGGTCTGTTTCCATCAGAATGTTCTTGTCTCAGTGTGGGGATGGGAGCCCATGAGTGTATGATTAGAAAAATAACACCTTGGGGAACTTAGTGATGAAACTTCTGCTCATCAGAAGTGGGATTCTTAAAGTTGTACTCCATATCTGCATTTCTTTAGACACTGTCCCAGTTGAGCAAGGAGTGGTCTGTTCTATTCTGCATTTCCCCCTTTTTGTGTTTAGTTCACGTTAACGCTGCTGCTGGAGTTCAAACTCATCTTGGAATTATTTGAAAACAGACATCTTGTCTTTAATAGACACTCACAGAAGCAGTGGTGTTTTTCAGAATAATTATCCTGGATTCTCTAGGGCATTAAACCTAAACTGTCTGTGTTACTTAAATTATGAATGTTCATTTGATTCTAAGTGTGCCATATTTACATGTTGAAAATTTTCCTGTAAAATAATTGCTGAGAGAGTCCAAGAAATGTTTTCATACATTATTGTTGGTGATAGTAAAGTCTATTGCACTTTATTGTTTCTTTTTCTTTATTCTTCTGTCATACAATACATCTTGAATGCAGCCTCCCCTCCCTCCCTTCCTCTCAGTACTCACCCCACCTCCTCCCTCCCCCAGATCTACAGCTCTTTTGTTTCCTTTCAGAAAGGAGCAGACCTCTCAACCTCATGTCCAGGCTGGATGAGGCAACCCAGTAGGAGGAAAAGGGTCCTATGAGCACACAAAAGAATCAGAGACAATCCCACTGCCACTGTTAGAAGTCCAACAAAACCCCCAGGTATACATTTAACCACAGCATCTACGCAAAAGGCCTTGCACAGACCTATGCAGGCTCTGTGGCTGCCTCATCAGTCTCTATGAGCCTCTATGAGCCCTGCTTAGTTGATTCTGGGGGCTGCTTTCACACTTTATTAATAAGAAAATTTCACTTTTCTAAAAAACGTCTTGACAGTGCACTGTTCACATTAAGTGATTTTGGAATTACCACTATCTCTAAGGCCCTGAGGTCTGAGAAATGGAATGTCAGAGGGGAATTTTTTAGTCACTGGTCAGATAACTTCTGGAGCCAATCCTATGTTTACAAAGGGTGCTGTTGCACCTTTACATGGCTATTAACATGCCTTCGATGTTTTTGTTGTTTTAGATGCACCCTTCTGTGGAAACCTACTAGGAACATCTTGAATCATTGAGTCAATCCAAGCCCTCCAACTTCGGTAACCTACGGTAAATTTTAGTCAATATGATACTGAATTCCCTGCCCAGAGGCATGCTTGGTCATCATTTTTGAACATGCGCTGTGCAGGAAAGACTTTGACCTGAGTGTACTCAGGATGTGCTCTCCTCTGAGTGTGCCGAGTCTGTACCATATGAAGACAACTTTGCTCCTTTGCTTTCTGTGCTTAGAGACATTGCTTTGGGAATTAGCCCCAGCTCTCTTCTCATTCACTTCAGTCAACATACTTTTCTTCATTCTTTCTACCTCCTGATTGTGCTAATGAACTTCACACTCACCAAGAGGTGAACCCATTGTATTAGGTTACAATATTATCAGTAATAATAACCACATTTATAGAACATTGATTGATCTAGCAAATATCTAGGGCTTTAGCATGTATTAAATCACAAGGTAAAAGTCATTATCACCATTTCACATGTAAGGAGAGT